GGGGAGAGGCTCCGCATCTAGGGCCAGTGTGTGTGTGTGCCATCTCACTGAGGCGGGCATATGGGGAGAGGTGGGGAGAGGCTCCGCATCTAGTGGCCGCCCGCCTCAGCAGGTGGTCCGGCCGGAAGGAGGTCCACCCTGCGCCAGTCACGCTGCTGATGGTGGCGTAGTTGAGCCTCACCACGTCCTCTCGCTCGTAGTAGCCGCCCGGGTTGGCGCTGTCGGAGGGAAGGGCGCGCCCGAGGCCGCGCCACGCGGTCTCGTCGCTGCGAGAGCCTGCGAGCGCGACGTGACGCTCAACACGTGAAGACGCGTCGGAGGCGCGAGAGATGGCTTTGGTGGCGGTGCCGTGGCTCAGGCGCGGTGTGCGGTCGCCACGGAGTGGTGTTGCAAGCAGCCGTGAGCGGTGCGGATCGTCTCTCTTTACGAGCGGGGCGGCCAGGAGGCACCGTTGCGGAGCATTGCCGCGATGATCGAGGTCGTGAGTGAAGAGCCGCTGCGGCTCATGCCCATCACGATGATCTGGGAGCGAGCCCGTTGGCGGCCCTCGGGGCCTCGACATCGGAGTGTCGATGCCATAACCCGCTCGCTCCAACACTCGGAATTGTCTGCCAGGTGTGCTGGCTCCTTCACGGCCAGCACGGGTACAAAGAGGGGTACCCGGCCGGAGAATCCCCAGGCTGCGGAAACGTAGTGTCGCTCAAGACACAAACAAGAGGTGCGATACTGCGGGGGAGTGTAAGGTGCCTATATGGGCCCCCGGAATGTGTCTCAACAGAGGGTGCTGGCTCCTTCACAGCCATCTTGTAGGTGCCTATATGGGCTTCCACTACCTCCGTTTCGGCCTGCCTGGCTGCGGCGGCCGTCACTCCCCGACAAATCCGTCGCTTTTCCGTCACTTGGAAGCCGGGAAAGTTCGCGCAGCTGACGGCTTCCAAATGACGGTCTTTGGAAACTTCCAAGCAGCAGTCGCTTCGAAGTGACAGTATCGTCATCATCTGTCTCGCGTCCACCCATACCGCGTTGGTGTCCAGTCCGAGCCTGACTGTTGTTCATCTTTCTACATACATACATTCCAGTCAGTATCGGACCTTCGACATGGTACCTCCGGTGAGATAGTGGCTGCCTGTTCGAGACTTGCTGCAGTGATACCAGTCTTATTGAGCTTCTTTGGAGGTGAGTGTCGATTTATATGCAAAAATGTGTGTTAGAGAGCGTTAATATGTGGCAAAATTTTCTTCGCCACCGGCGGGGCCGCTCGCCGCGGGGCTAGAGAGTGACTGCTGCGCCTCTCGTTGCGCTGACTTCCTTAGCCTCAGGACCCTCCTGGGGACCAAGGTAAGGTAAGGTAAGGTAAACTTCTCCACACACACGAGGTGGTGGGGCAAGGGGGGGCAACCCTCGCGTCTCCACGTCTGACGACAGGAGCCCCACGGCATTCAAAGTGCAAGGCCCAGTGCGCGTGGGTGAGCGGTGTGTGTGTGTGTGTGTGTGTGTGTGTGTGTGTGTGTGTGTGTGTGTGTGTGTGTGTGTGTGTGTGTGTGTCACGTCACTGCATCCTCCGCCGGTTCCTCCCGTCGCCTCTTCTTTGTTCGAATGTTTTTCAATCCATCCTTCACGAAGCCCTCCCATGTAGCTAGCGTTCTTGGCGAATGTCTCGAAATGGCCAGCAGGCGCTGTCTGCTCGCGGTCTGTGCGGGCCGCTCGTCCTCCTCGCCCTTCTTTCGTCCTCCCGTCCCTCCCCTCCACCATGGCCTTCTCGGCACTTCTTTCTCCATCCGCCTCGCCCTGCCTTTTCGCATCGTGCCGTTCGCCCTCCATTCGGTGACCTCCATGGCTGTCCGCCCCTTTTTGGGTGGCGCTCTCGATACGGTTGCGTCAACCTCGACGTCGCTGTCGCCCTCCCCGTCCCCGCCGGCGTCCGTGCCTCGGTTCGCGTCATCGGTAGCGTCTCCGTTGTTCCCTCG